AGAGAGAAAGAGAGAGAGAGAGAGAAAGGAAGAAAAGAAAAAGCATGGGAGCCCACGAGTTGGAGACTGAAGTGAGGTATGATTGCATCACTGCATACCAGCATAGGTGATGAAGGTGAGGGGAGGGGGAGAGAAAGGAAAAAAGAGAGAGAGAGAGAGAGGAAGAGGAAGAAAGGAAGGAAGCAAGGAGAGAAAGAAGGAGAGGAAGGGGAAGAAAGAAGAAAAAAGGGCAAAAAGAAAAGAACAAGCATGCAGGAGAATTTGAAGCAGCTTTGCCGTTGAGTTCTTGGGTTCCCTGAGTCACGCTACACCGTGGACCATCAGCCAGCAGAAATCCATTCTTGTTACACCTGTGACCCCTGCTAGCAAGATGGTCAATGTGGCGGGGTCCCTCAGGAAGGTGAGAACAGAGGACATTTGCCTCTTAAGGGTTAAACTCTAAGTTACTTCAATTGTGAGCAGAGACATGTAACACTGTTTAAGGAAAAACAACAAATTGTAGCCATATACGATGTGACTGTAACCTGAATGAACATACACTGCAGCCAACCAAGGAAGTGTCCATCAGAAGCAGGATCGGCAACTGGGGAAGGAATACCAAAGGAAGGTGAGGTAGCCCAGCAGCATGGCTGCCCACGCACCTGCAGGGAACAGAGCTGCCGCTTAAGACAGCAGAGCCTCCCAGGGACACAAGACCCCAGCCCAGGAGCCTGAGCATCTGCTACTTCAGATGTGGTCTCTTTATTGGAACAAATCAATATAGTCCCAGATCTCTGGTCTGCAGCCACTGATCTGGCAGATGATTTTTCTCTGTACCTACTGATACAGGTTGAGGTTTTGTCTCCTGCAATCTCATGTCCAGAAGCTGTCTTGTTCTCATCTGGCAGGGACAGCAGCAGCCTTGGTGGGAGTGCATCAGGGCTGTGCTACCTCTCCACTTCCTCCATGCAACCTAGAGCTCAGGGCTGCTGGCTGTCTTGCCATTCCATAGGACGCCACCGTGGCCCATCACATTAGTGATGTGGACAGGAAACAAGACACCCCACTGTTTTGGTGAAATTATGACCACCTGGGCTGGGATGTAACTCTCGTAAGAATGCACAGGGCTGCTGCTCTGAAGTTTCTGGGGCCCGTGATCTAGGAAGGTATGGATGCACTCTGTGAGGGGGAGGACAGGGTGCTGTGCCCACGTCCACTGACATTAGAGACGGGCAGGCACTCTGAGTCTCTCTGAAGCTCTGCAAGCAACATCCACCAGACCACACACGCTACTCTGATCACTTTCCAATTAACCTACAAACTACCAGTTCCGCATGAGGCCTAGAAAGAGCCTCCAGAGCAGGTCGATGTAAAAGCTGGTCTCCCCGTCAGGCCACGGTGGCAATTAGATCCCATGATGCATGGCAGAGTCACAGACAGGCCCAGAGCAAAGACCCCTAGGGTTCTGGGACAAAACCACACCCTCCCCTGCACATAATTGCTCTTCTGAGAACCAGCTCTCAGCTTGTCCTCTAGGCCCTGATGGACACTGAACAGCTATACTTCACCATGGCACAGCTAGTGACAAGTTAGCTGGAACTTGAGCGGACCACCAAAGACTGCGTTTTCTAACCTGTCACATCACCAGGTGAGTCAACTGCGGGAGCAAGTCTTCATTACATTCAGGCAAGATGTACATATTTAATAGGTATATAGGTGTGCACACACACACAAGCATGCATGCATATGCACGCGCACGCATGCACACACAGGTTAGGCTTTGGCATGTTCTGGAGCACAAGATACACAAGCAAGTGGTTCCGATGCTCTTCGAGCCCACAGCTGCATGGACAGCACCCCTCACCACGCACCTATTGGCCCCACGGGGACTTCCCTAGGACCACTCACCCGAATTAAAAGTTGGATTTGATTTCTGCAAAAGATGCTGACAGCTGACACCACTTGAAGGTGAAAGTTGGCAACGTTCTAACCCATTTGAGTGGCCCTAAAGAACAGCGGGGGAGGGGAGGGGCCCATGCTCTCAGTAGGCAGGTGGCACGATGGCTGCCTCATGCATGTTAGCCTTTCTCTCCAGCCACCCAGCCTTGCTCAATGTTCTCATCAACAAAGTGGCCATGGAGGCAGTGAAGGATGTTGTCAATGGCTTCAACCACATGGACGTCCTCACTCCAAGGCTAGTCTGGCTAAGGTCCACTGCTAAATGTATAAATCTGCCAATACTAGGAAATATATAAATCACAATTCCTAGTATGAAAAACTCAACTGGAAAGAAGAGCCAGCCCCCAAGTACATCAGACCATATGTTCTGGGAGGGACAGAGACACCTCTTGGCCACTGCACCTGGCTCACAGAAGCCTCATCTGCTGCACGGGTTGCTTCCAGTACTGCTTCCAGGAGACCCGTCTGACAGCCGAGCTCAGCAGTGAGGCCTGTGACAATCGTGATCCCGGCACACACCCCACTACTTCGGGGAGCCTCCCAAGCACCAGGCAGTGCTGGCTGTGACAAGGCTCCCCTTGAGGGCTGCTGGGTTGCCCAAGACATGCCCTGCACTCTGAGTCATCAGTCAACAAGTGGTATGGGTTCTCCCATGGCTGGAAAACACGGGTGGAGGCACATGTGGAGCGGGAATGGCTCCTCTCATTATGCCCCTGCACCACTAGCAAGGTTTTGGATTCTCCGCTCACAATTCTGGACTCTGCTGGTTTGGGTGTCTTCATTCCTCAGATGCTTCCACAGACGGACACGAGGTGCCCACTGCCCTGCAGGTGGAGGCTGCCACCCAGCCTCACTGGATGCCTTGTGCCAACGAGCCAGAAGAGTTTACTGCTATGGCGAGGGGACTGTTCTCAATTGTCTTGGGGAAATATAGCTCCCACCACAGATTGGGGGCTGGGAGGAGGGTTTGGAATTTATGGGATTCTCTAGGGAACCTCTTAGTATTCCTAAGTCCAGTGATAAGTCAATAGAAACCTACAGCTACCCAAAACGAGAAAGATTTCTGATGGGAAAGACCTTTCAGGAATGAGGGCTGGGTTAACTCCGCAGGCGAAAAACCACCACCTAGAGAGGCAAAGGAAAGGAACATGGAACAGTGGCAGAAAGGAATTTTCAAACACAAACTTCTGCCAGATCATCAGGTTGCAAAAACAGGGCACGCAGCAGCTCTGTGTGGTCTCCTCACTGCTTTGGTAAGATACACCGGTATCTACGAGCTAACTCTACCAGTCAGTTCTTTCTTTCCCTCTTCCCATCCCAGCACCACCATTAGCAAGATAGTCAACCCTGTAGTCACCCTACATGCAAGTGTATCAGAGAAAGGTGTGACGGCTCTATAAAAGAACAGTGCCGGAGTGGGAATACTGACACATGGGATTTGTGCTTTGTGTCTCCACTTTTGGGAAGAGGAAGAACCATCTTCAGTTACACAAGAGAGAGTTGTATCACGTTAGCCAGAAGCATCATGCTTCCCCAGAGGTGCTGTTTACAAGGGGCCGGAGCTGAGCTGGCAGAGGACAAACAGCATGAGTTCAGCTCTGCTGCCACCCATGGCCCCCAGGTCTCCTCAGCTGAAGCAGCCTCGGAATGCCAGTCCTTCGATGGCTGCCAGCTGCACCCTGTCAAGGTTTGGAAGGTGGAAAAAGAGAAGCAGTGATTCACGGAGGGTGGGGCAGGGTGGCCCATGCCCAAGCAGACATGAGCTCAGGGTGGCCGCCCAGAGGCTTCCGGAGAGCCCCAGCTTTGCAGCTGCCAACTCAGACAGTGGGGCTCTCAGGCACCCTCGAGAGCTGCAGCGGCTGCAGGAACCCTCGAGCCAGAGACTGGGGTTCGTCAAGCAGGGCCTGTGAAGAGCAGCTTCCCTAATGTCCCTTCCCCCAGCTCTCCCAGCCCCTGGGATGTGAAACCCCCACATCTAAAAACAGGGAAGGGCTTCTGCTAGTTTTGCCAAACACTGGCCAGGAGGCCTGCTGTCCAGCACCCATGCCTGCCCACCTCCCCTTTCAGGAGCTGGTCTCCAGCACTGACCTGGGAAGCTTAAATTTATCGGTCCTCTCCTCAGTCCCAGGGCCTCACCCTCCCTGCCCTGAAGGCTGGTCTAGGAGTCAACGTCTCCCAAGGCCTGGCCAGTGAATGCAGGGGAAGGTCCCAGCCACAGCAGTCGTTCTCAAGAGTAGGCATGTGGCCAGTAACAATGGAACTACACATTTCTGAGTAACAGTCGGGTAAAAGCAGCTCCCCCTTCTTCCTCTGGACAGTGTGTTATGGAGAGATGGATCCAAAAACCACAGCAGCCATTTGGTTACCACAAAGGAAGCCAGACTGAGACTCACGTTGACCACTCGGAAAGGGTAGATCAGAACACTGCAGAGAAACAGAACCTGGACCCTGGTCAAGCAGACCCTCAACTCCACCTTACCTTTGGGTTTTCAATTTGCACACTGTTAAAATCTGTTAAAATTAAAGACATCCTGACTTCTAGGTTTTCATGAGTACTTTACTTGTGGATTTCTTGGCTAAATGTATTAACATTTGTTTCTTCTCACTAAAAGTCCAAATTTTCAATAAAACTGTATGTGTAAGATTGATAGTTTCATTCCACTTGTTCTTTTCATAACTGGTGTAAGCCACCAGGTTCTCAGTGTACTGCAAGATTGACTTTACAAACCTGTAAAAAAAAAAATTAATTTCTTTATCCATTCCATTATAAAATGAAACAATGAATTAAATGTCTTCTCTTCATTCTTGGAATTATTCCTAAACTGCACTTAATTTATGTCTGAGGATTCAAGAAAAATAAATCCACATAAAACAAAAATAAGAGAATACAAATTAGAGGAAAGAGAAAAATATTGAAATGTAAATGCTACTGGACACTTGGACAGGCTCCAACGCAAGCACCTTTTCAGACATTCTTCTCCAGCCTGGACATGACGGCCGTCATTCCAGGAAGGAACTTAAGGGTCATCTGCACCAAACTGACACATAACACATAATAAACACACAACACAAGATAAACGCACAATACACAGTCATCCCTTGGATACCAAAATCCAAGCATACTCAAGTCCAGCGTGAAAACTCGGCCCCCTGAACATGTGGGTTTCACCATGAGATTTTTGTGTTTTGTTTTTTTTCCCACATTGATGTTTACAACCAAGACACTGCAATTTCAATCTGTGTTTGCATGGAACGCAGAGCCTGCTGATACAGAGGACCAACTGTATTTACTGAAAAAGCTTCCTGGACAAGTGGACCTGTGCAGTGCAAACCTGCATTGTTCAGGGGTCGGCTGCAATGACAGGCAGACCTTTTAACCTTCGTTGTTCAGGGGTCGGCTGCAATGACAAGCAGGCCTTTTAACCTGCGTTGTTCAGGGGTCAGCTGCAATGACAAGCAGACCTTTTAGCCCCGTCAGGAGCCTCTTGAGCAGCGTGCCCTCCCCCTCCTCACACATCCAGCTTCCATCCCCCATGATGGAGGGGCCGGCTCAGAGGAGGCGCAAGGCGCGTGCCACTGAGACAGCTGTTGCTGTTAAAGAGATTTTACTTAAGATATTTGTCAAAATGTTAACAGCGGGGTCACTCTGACTGATGACAACAAATGTCATCTTTACTTTTTCCACGTTTGCCAGGTAGTTTTCACCAACATTTCAACATCTTGAAAATATTCAAACCTAAAGAGAAGCTAAAAGGATAATATAATGAAAAGCCACAGAACACTTTGTCTAGAGGAGGGTTCTCTACTGGGGTGATTTTGTCCCCCAGGGGATATCTGGCAATGTCTAGGGCACTTTTGACTGTCATACGGAGGGTAGGGGTGCCATTGGTATTTTGTGGGTAGAGGCAGGGCTGCTACTGAACGTCCTACAATGAGCAGGGCAGTCCTGCACCAGCCCCACAATACCAGCAATGCCAAGCATGGGGCACACGGAGCTGGAGTCCTCAGCTGCTAACAATCTGCACGTTTGCTCCCCTCACTCTCAGCAGGAGTCTATGCTTCTTTCCACAAGACACCCCAGTTGTATTTTCACGTTCACTGAAACGTGTACTGAGGTGCCTGGCACCTGCAAAGCATTGGCTTAAAACCAACAAGATATCCAGAACTTCCTGGCAGCCAAGGGAGGCTGGAGCCGGAGCTGCACTCAAGCCCAGATGACAGCTTGTGTCACCGCTGCCTGGAAGCCTCCTTGGTTTGGAATCTCTGGATGTAAAGTGGGTCACACAAGTGTCACACTACTTCAGACTCCCAGATTGGGATGGTCTTAAAAGTGGACTTCCTGAATTTGAAACTATTAGTTACATATGCGAATTTGGTTTTCGGCTGGGCACAGTGGCTTTTACACCTCTAATCCCAGCACTTTGGGAGGCCAAGGTGGGATGATCCCTGAAGGGCAACACAGTGAGACTTCATCTCTACAAAATCATTTAAAAATTAACCAGGTACGGTGGCATGGCTGTGTTCCCAGCTACTCAGGGGGCTGGGGTGGGGGGATCACCTGAGCCTGGGAGGTCGATGCTACAGTGAGCCGTGATTATGCCACTGCACTCCAGCCTGGGCAACAGAACAGGACTCTGTCTCCGAAAAACAAACAAACAAACAAACAAAATGTGGTTTTGAGACATTTGGATGTGGGAGTTCTTGCAGGCCAGATGTCAGACCCTTGCCTGAGACGGCGGTGGGGCCACCAAGGAGATGGTGGCCTTCATGCTGCTCCAGTCTCACTCCTACAGGCTCACCCACAATCTGGCCCACGATGCAATGCGACTACAGAGAAGTGGGACATACTTACTTTAGGTACTGATGATACGCATGCGCATTCTTCCCACAAACAGCATGAACATTGACCAACTCCAGCGTAATGAGGAACAGGATAAGGCTGAGCACAGGGGACAGTAGTCTGATACTAAAAACAGATGAAAGTAAATTCAAACATGAGGTACCTTGGTACTTTCCACCTTCATCAGGAAAAAGATGTTTCACCTAATCAATATCCGTAAGTCCCAACTTCTCAAAAAATAATTTTCCTAATCCTCAGAGCCCAATGCCTGCTTCTAGCCCCCAGGCCCATGGCTGGCGGGAGCGCCCAGTGTAGCCCTTGCTCCCGGCCCATCCTGCACGTCCGCATTCCTTGCTCTCAGTCATCATCTGAGACTCTCAGACATCTGACGGTCAGAGCTGCCAGGGGCTCTGCACGCCCACAGGGCACCAGGCAGGCCCAGTCTGCACCAAGCAGCTCCCCGGCTCCCTGCCCTCTGACATCTAGGGAGGAACTCTCACCAGAGGAAAACAAATGGCCTCAATACGAAAGCGGGCTCAATGCCACTAGATTAAAGAAATCCCGGCCGGGCGCGGTGGCTCAAGCCTGTAATTCCAGCACTTTGGGAGGCCGAGATGGGCGGATCATGAGGTCAGGAGATCGAGACCATCCTGGCTAACACGGTGAAACCCGTCTCTACTAAAAAATACAAAAAACTAGCCGGGCGAGGTAGGGGCCGCCTGTAGTCCCAGCTACTCGGGAGGCTGAGGCAGGAGAATTGGCGTGAACCCGGGAGGCGGAGCTTGCAGTGAGCTGAGATCTGGCCATTGCACTCCAGCCTGGGCGACAGAGCGAGACTCCGTCTCAAAAAAAAAAAAAAAAAAAGAAATCCCAACTAAAGTAAGATCTTATTTTTCCCCATGAAACTAGTTGAGACATTTAAAAATATCTGGTTTTGGAAGAGGGTTAATAAGAGAATGACCTTGTCTTATAAACTGCCTGGTAAGGAGTGTAAATTGAGTAGCACCTTTCTGGGGGGAAATCCAGCCATATCTAATTTAAAGCTTTAAAAAACACAGATACCACTCCAACCAAAAAGTTTCTGAGAAATATCCAAAATGGTCATTCTTAAGGATGTAGCACATTCTAAAATACACACTGTAAGTGAAGAAACCATAATGCTGTTAATCTGCTATTAAGTTAATCTGCTGTTATATTTTAAACCTAAATCCAGTTAATCTGCTGTTATACTTTATATCCAAATATTCATTTAGGTAGATAGAACCCACATTTCCATATGCCCAAATTACAAACACTATTTAAAATAGTATGTACTATAACTTTCTATGAAAATCAGCATGGGGAGTCCTCACAGTCCTCAG